CCACAATCGACCCTTCCGATTCGGATCGAGCCCCATCCACCCCACTGTCTCAGATCGACCCCCACTTTCGTTAAATAGACCCCTGGAGGTCTATATAGACCACTTTGGCGACCTCTGGTCTAATGGGTTTCAAAGAATTTTATCAGGGGGTCATTTTAGACTTTTAGTGAAAAGCCTACTCATCATTTTGTGAATTTAATATGACAGTAGGGTTGAGTTCTTCCCGTTAGGGTCCCGTTTTTGTGAAAAATCCACTCACGAATTTGACATTGGGGTGAAATCCATACAAAAAAATTACCTTGCTGAATATGTCAGCATAGTGCATGTACAAGTCGTCTTCATTTATTCCGCCGCTGAAAAAGAAAAAGACAGGTTCAATCGGGGAAACTTTAAAAAAATTAATAAAAAAAAGAAGTTTTTCATAGAGAGGATAGCGCACCTCTGTTCTGTGGTGGCGCTTCGACAAAATGCTACCACTAATTGACTCAGTTGATCCGGCTTCTCTTCTGTCTCCTCCGTCTCTTTCTTTGCTTCAGCATCCTCAAAAGATTGCTGAAAAACAATAAGGAGAGAGAGAATCTAACAAGCATGCATTATATTTACTTCTCATAAGTTGCAAGTATACAGAACTCATAAAATAAGGTAAAAACATGGAAGATAAAAGAAAAGAGAAGAGGAAAAAATTGAAATGAAACATTAAAAAAAAATATCGAAACTAAAAAATAGATTAAAGATAATAGATAATAAAGATAATAGATAATAGATAATAGAAGAGCCGGATAAAAATGAAAAGATATGATCTCTTCCACACTATTATATCGGGAAAAAGGAATGCTTTCTAATAGCTGTTTAGAAGAAATTTGGGTCCGTTAACGGACCCTTCACAAAATATCTTTTCATAAAAACGGACCCTTCGCAAACTATTTTAACTTAAAAACGGACCCTTCACAAAATATTAACTTAAAAACGAACCCTTCACAAAATTACAAAATGTCTGGACAGACCCCTGAATAGTGTATCAATATAGCCAAAGTAAAATATATGAATACAATATTAATAGAAAGCAACAAAATATAGTCTCTAATAGTAGGACGGGCACTCAAAAAAATTTTTTGTTTGAGACAAAAAATAACACATTAAGCAAAATATATATATATATATATCACAAAATTATATATATAAAGGTTGTTAATTACCGTTAGATTTTCGATGAGTTGTTCTTGTCCAGTGTTTTCTTCCTCCAGCCACATTTCCTTGAATACTTGGAGGAATATATTGATAGCTCTGTGCCTGTATTACAAAACACATATTTATAGTTCATTCTTCAGCCTTAAAACAAATAATTATGGAGGGCACGCTTTACTTAAAATTGGAATGAGCACAGAATAATAAAACGCTCGTATGATCGTAATTATGTTTATACTCTGCTGCAAAACTCATTTTAATTAGAAGGCTAACTAAGAATAAAAAGAATATCACGCTGCTCACGTCAATTCCCGAAAATCGCTGATTGATTGAATGCTTAGATGTTTAAGGCTGCTTTGTAAGTATGTGTAACTGTGAAATGTTGACAATCACTTTGACAAATATCCGAAATATATATTAGGTCCAGTTAAGTGCCACTGCCCGGCATACATTTTCCCGGTATAGGGGAGAGTGGTGTCAGTTGTAACATTTTTTAACTTAACTATTTTTAACTAACAA